GCGTAATAATATTGATAATAATAAGAATAATAAGGATACTGATGATAAAAGTAGTAATAAGCGTAATAATATTGATAATGATAAGAATTATAAGGATAATGACGATAAAAGTAGTAATAAGCGTAAAAATATTGATAATAATATAAATAATAGGGATAATGATGATAAAAGTAGTAATATGCGTAATAATATTGATAATAATAAGAATAATAAGGATAATGATGATAAAAGTAGTATAGTATAGTATATTTATAGTATATATAGTATATATATATAGTATAGTATATAGTATAGTATAGTATAGTATAGTATAGTATAGTATAGTATAGTAAATGAATTTATTATTTAAGAAAAACGACTTGGAAGGACCTCTTTGAATAACTATATTTTATACGTGTGAAAATTATAATATCAGAGAAACAATAACAAAGAAATACATGGATTTTATTTTGTTAACATGCATAGATCTGATAAAAATCGAGCGGTATCTTTTTCCTTTGCTCTTGCAACAAATATTGGTATTCATATAATAAATCAGCTGCAAACGTAAAAAATAATAATAATCATAAATAAATTTAATATTACTTTTATTATATATAATCTGTTGTATTATTTAACCCTTTTATTCTCTTTCCTGCAATTTTCTTCAGATTTATTTTTTTTTCCTTACTAGGGCCTAATGATACCTTATATTTCATCAAAGTGTATACGCTACTGAGGACTTCTACGGATAGCTTACTGCGCATGCACTGAGACTGCCCACACTGATCTGCGCGCTACTTAAAAGTAGTTTAAGCCTTAAACTACTACATTATAAATAATTATTCAATTTATTATTTTTATAATTAACATTTTCTGTATTTTCTGTTTACTAATGTTCTAACTTTCACGTAAAAATATTATTAAATCGTGCAACAACAATAAATATGTTATTATAAATGCTTTTATTTTTCAGTTCCAAAATTGAATATACACACAATCAGCCTCGATCTTCGACAAAGAATTAAGCTAATAAAGAGTTACATAAATTAAAAATTATACAAAATATATTTGCAAATTGTATGTATTTATGAAGTTACAATAAATAAACAAAAGAAATCATGTACTTATTTACAATCCTTTCCATTACATTCTTAAACATGACAGACAATCAACGGGTTACGTCAGGCTTGCGGTTAGGTTATATTCGGTTAGGTCAGGGTCCAAGGTTAGGTCGGATTATGTTAGATCATGCCTACGGTTAGGTTATATTAGGTTAGGTCAGGATCTAATGTTACTTCGGATCATGTTAGGTCAGGGACTAAGGCTAGGTTGTATCAGGTTAGGTCTGGAGACCTAACATATATCATTCCCCATGTTACTATTACTATTATCGTGGAACTATAATTATTATCCTTACTACTCTTATTATTATCAATTTAACCGATATCACTACACATATTACTACTTTTATTATCGTTACAACTATTATTATTATGCTGATTATTCCTATTATTATTAATACTATTACCCATATTACGACTATTATCATCGTTTCAACTGTAATTACCCTTACTACTCTTATTATTATAATTATAATTACGCATATCACTATTTTTATTATCAGTATCCTTATTATCCTTATTATTATCAATATTATTACGCATTGTACTACTTTCATCATCATTATACTTATTATTCTTATTATTATCAGTATTATTACGCACATTACGACTATTATCATCATTATCCTTATTATTCTTATCATTATCAATATTATCACGCATATTACTACTTTTATCATCATTATCCTTAT